ACTATAATTTATAACAATTTACTATAAAAATATACTAGAGCCGTCGTTCCAGGGTGTCTAGCTTTTTTTTGAAAAAATTAAAGAAAAAAAGGTCACATTTACATTACAATTGACTAAGATTTTGATTTTTTTACAAATTTTGATTTTTCCCGTCCTCGAAGGGTTAATTGAGGTTTGCAGTTCTGCTTACACAGCATTAATAAAAAAGGGAAATGAAGTTTAATTATTTAAACTACACAACATAATTATTAATTTCCAATAATTTAAAAACGACCTTGAAGATTCATCAAAATGCTTGGGCTGACAATAATTATTTAAAGTCAAAAACATACGTAAAATAATTAAGAACTTGTAAAAAAAGGGTTGAAATGCGTGTCAAATAATTATAAATATAAAAAAATAATTAATCATTTATTTTTTATGTTAAAAAAGTGATTACAAAAAAAAATTATTTGGTAAACAAAAAAATAATTGTATTTCTTTTAAAATATTCATATTTAAACAATTGTATTTTAATTTAAAAATGTGGTTTTTGATATTCACACATACAGTTACCAATATGACAAGACATGGAATGATAAATAAACAATTAACAATCATGTTTAAATGTAATTGTTGATGTAAACATAAACCAAAGATAATAATTGTTTTTGACATATTTTTGATTTATGAATATATCTTTTATATTTATAAGGGTGTGACTATTTTAATTGTGTAACTAAATAAAAATGATTATTTTAATAACTCATTGTCGATAATAACATGTAAATGATGTTATTTAATATATATTATCTTTTTTATTTATTATGTCTGATTACACAGATTGATAGCACATTATGAAAATGACATCACAACTGTTTTGAATAGTGAAATAATAACATGATAATACAGTTACTTTTAATGATTGGATTTTGATAATTAATATAAAATGATTCACTTTTATACTCTATACGCCCATTGTAAAAATGATAAAATTATTAAATGTGTAAACTTTTTGAGTGTGTAAACATATAATTTCAAACCAAACAAATACATAAATATTATATTATGAAAAGAATGCAAATAAATATTTTTAACTACTTGTTGTTCACAACCCATTTGTACATGTTACGTTTAAATAAAATATATTTACTGGTTAATATAACTGACAATTACATTAATTTTGTATATGATAAATAATCAAATATTCATGTGAACAAATTATAAATGTTGATAATAAACCAATTTGATTTTTTTATTACATTGGTGTTGTCTCTTAGATACGATTAAATATATTTTATAAAATTAATTAAAAATATTATTCTATTTTATTAATATTCAATTTGAAAGCAATTGAATTGTTATTAAATGTTTGTGTATTGCTTAGATTATATGCACATCGTATTATAAATCCAAAAAGACAAATATTTATGTTTTAATGCACTTTTATGTATGATTAAAAGAAATAATTGTTATTATAGAAAAGTATGAATAGAATTAATTTATATAATAATTATGGAAAGTGTATTCATTTTTGTTGAAACAACTAAGTTAATGTACCACAACAAAGAACTGGAAATCAATTTTTTATTTTTGTATCGTCTGCTTTTGCTTTTTGATGATAAAATATTTATTTTTATATTTTATGTATATATGTGAGAGAGAAGCAAGTTATAAGCAAAAATGTTCTAAACTGTGTTATTCCAGTAATTTTAATGTAATGATTTCAAGTTCAGGTTTGATGTTACACGTTTTCACACTAAAAATTTATCACGTTTTATTTTTGACATTTTATAAAAATGAAAATGTTGTGATTAACAGTGAAACCTGATATATCATCTGTTGTTATTAAATTGTTGAAATTAATAATCAATACATGTTTCTATTATATATAATAATAAATGTTGTGGTATTACAAAGGTATATGTTTAATTATGTCTTTTTATATGAATAACAAAAAATGATTGTTAAGAAAGAATAATCGTATACAACAACTCTTTTACATGTAATTATCAACAAAAGTTGTTGAATGAAAATTGCATTCATCGAAGTAGTTACACAATGCAATTGATGATAATCGTTTATTTTTGTTTTAATGTATATCATAGTCATTGCACAAAAGTTATTATTTACAAACAATAAATTCAATGTAATAAACAACTATAATTTAAGTGGAAATTTAATTTGAGAATTATTATTGTATCAACACTGTTGTATATTTGATTTTTTGTTTATTTGAACGTTTGATTGCGTAGATAACTTTGTTATGAAAATTGATAAAACGATCTGTTAAAGTTAATGATGATTTTATTTAACCAATTCAACAATGTGTAAATTCAGAAAAAAAATTGTGAAATTTTAAAAAATATTTTTTTTGTTATTTAATAAAGAGGAAAGTAAAATGCCGATTTACAAAAAAAAATAATTAATTCGACCCAAAAGATCTTAGGATTACTTGGGTCGTGACAATCTCGAAGGTCGCCTTAATAACAACAGTTTGTAAAAAAAAAGTTCATTGTTAAGAACTACACTTTCATTTGAAAAAATAATTAAATTTTAATATTTGGCTACTTTAAACATATTCAATTAAAATAATTTTAAATATATTATCTGAAATTTAATTAAGTCAGATATTGTAAACACGTTAAATAAAATTTATCACATCTGTTGCTGTTATTCTTTCTTTAGGATTTTGTTTCCAACACATTTCTATCACCTGAAATATTGTTTCTGGAATGTTTTCTTTTCTTTCAAGACGTTTTCCCTTTGTCACAAATTCTGCAATTTTCCATGGAAATTTGAATGTCTCACTTAAATACGCATCAGACCACCCAAACACCTCAAACATCGTTATTGCAAACGAAAATATATCTGCACTTTTTGTATACTTTTCCTTTTTTAACACTTCTGGTGCCATATACACGGGTGTTCCAATACCCTTTGTGAATGTCATGTTGGTCATCAACATGTTGACATCTTGCACTTCCAAAATCGGTCAATTTTGCATTGACCTTGTCATTTACATCAAGTGACAACACAAGTAAATTATCTGGCTTGATGTCTCTATGAAGTATTCCATTCTCATGCAAATACAATATTCCATTTGCAGCATCTACTATTATTTTGACTCGTAAATGTAAATTGACTTCACATGAATCTTTGTGTTTTATTAAGTCTTGTAAAGACCCAAATTGAGCAAATTCAGTGACCATACACACTTTGTTTGGTATAAACACAGCACCATAAAAGTGAATAATATAATCACTTCTGAATTTGTCTAACATTGAAATCTCTTTTTCAAATTCAATTGTTTCATCAGTATTATCTTTGAATTCTTTCATCTTTTTGATTGCAACACAAATTCCTCTAAAACTACCTTTATAAACAACACCAAACGATCCTTCACCAAGTTTTTTCTCTACGATTAATTCGTCTGGGTCAAGTCGTGTTGATATTTCAGTGAAAATATTTAGACTTATTTGATTGTTTTTTGTTGTACCATCTTGTAAATTCTTTGAAAAAAGTGCGATTTTGTTATTGATTTTGCATGAACAATTTGGTTCAACAAATATTTCAAATTCGACTGCCATTCCTTGTGATAGAGATACAATCTTTGGCTCTGTTCTAATCGTGTATTTCTCGGTGTTGTCTGTTGTTGAAACTTGTATCTTTAAATGTCGCTTTGACGAGTTGCCGACGCAAATCAATTCACGACTTTCAACACCAACTTTGATTGGATTTTCTGAATCACCAAACACAATTTCAGTTTTGTTAACAACAACACCATCATTAAGAGAAACAAAAGAAATGTTTGAACGACTCATTTTAAATATTGTCGTTTGTTTATTCGATTTTCGATGTACTTTTATCTCAATTAGTTTTGTGATTTAAAAAAATAATACAATAAAAGTAATAGACACACCAATTGCAAATGTCACACAAATGAGTATGACCCACCAGACAACTTTATTGTTGCACAAAGTTCCATTATTATTTGGTGAGTGCCAAAATGTGCATTTCAAACATTTTGAATTTGAAATTTCAAGACACTTTGACACATATGAAATATCAAGACAAAGTCCATTTTCAAATAAAATTCTATTTTTGACACAAGATATGCATTTTTCGTGTGGTGTACACGCTGTACAGTTGTCGTTACACTTTTCACATTCATTGTAATTGACCGTGTAATACCCATCTAAACATTTAGAACACCCATTTTGTGTAACTTCACTAAAACACCCAATAATACTGTTTTGTGGCAAACACTTTCCACTCGTTGTTTTGTAATTAGTTGAATTGCATGTCAAACACATGTCTTTTCTGTTACATGTCGAACAATTGGAGAGACATTCAAGACAATCCATTCCAACTCGGTAATACCCTTCTTTGCATTGATAACATCCACCTGTGATAGTAGATATTTTGTCACACTTTACAATCAATTCTGTGCTTGACAAACATGTGTAATTTTCTCCTTGATAAAACCCATTCTTACATGATAAACACCTTGTTTTACTTTCAATACAACTTGTGCAATTTTCAGAACATTGAAAACATACTGCGTTTGATAAGTAATATCCAATTACACATGAAATGCAACCATATTTACTATATTTTACACAACCCGTTGTCGTGTTATTGTTTGTAATGTTTACACAATTTTTGTTATTATTTAGAATGTAATTATCTTCACATTCTACACATTGACCATTTACTATAAATAAACATTTGTCTTGTAAAGAAATACACATCCCATTTTGCTCTTTGAATGTCCCATTTTGACAAAATGATAAAGTGCATTTTCTTTCATCTGAAATTAAATAATTTACTTCACAAGAAATCGCATGAATTTTGTCACAATTGTATGAGTTTGCAAAACATGATGAACATTTGTTGCACATATTATTATCAATAAAAAACTCGTCATTACACCAAATTATCGAAATTCCAATTGAAACCCCATTTTTCTCTTGATCACAGACACTTTCGTTGTTTAGTATAAAATTATGTTTACAAAGAGTACATTCCTCATATAAACACAAATTACAATTTGATGCACAATTATCACATTTGTTGTTTGAATTGCCAGTGATACAAGTAATACAATTACTTCCATCCATGTATCTACATTTGTCATTATATATACATTCATTATCATCTCTTATGTATTGGTTCGGACATTTGTAACATTCTGATGTTGTTCCAAACAAACAGTTTGCTGAGGAAACACACTCAAATTTTTCATTTAAAACATACCCTGTTTTACACAAAACACAAATATTGTTCTTGTTGTACTTTTCACAATTTTTAACAATAGAATTACATATGTCATTATCAAGACGATAATTAGAGTCGCACATAATACACTTTAAACCAGTTTTTGATACTTCCATGAGATGGCAATTGCTGAGAGCTTTGTTGTTACTTGCGTTTTCGACAAATACAAAGCTTTTTCCATTTTCAGTGAAATTAATATTATAAATTCTATTTAAAATGGTCTTTTTTGATGTAAAGACGTTGGTGTTTTCGTATAAATATAGTTTTTCGATAGTACCACTGCAATTTATGTTTAACGTGGTGATGTTTTGAGAAATATTAAAAATGTAATCTAAGTCACCCACACACGTTACTGTATCTGATGTGAATGTATATATAAATGTAGCATTTGTTTATACATTTTTGTTAGTATTAGTGGTAACTATACCAAAAGTGAATGAAAAGACCAAATTTAAAAATAGCGAATTGACTGTTAATATCACGTTATCATATACAGTGACTTGTTTTGAAAATTTTAAATTTAATATTTTCACATTTCTATCAATTAACAATTCAGTGTTATTTAATAAGTAATTTAACATATTAAACTCGTTGATTCCATCAATAAATTTCAGTTTGCAAATAACGCTATCATCATTGTCACAGGGGCAATGCGGATAATCAAAATCGCCTTCCATCTTAGTTGGTGATTTGGAATTGTAATAAACATTTTTTAATGTGCAAACCACTTCATTATTTAGTTGAGTATCTTTAGGGCAAAATCGCATCAATTTTTTGTTTGATATCAAGTACCCCTTCCCGCCAGTAAAGTTATATGAATAGTTAAACATATCAGATGTGATGTGATCTGTATTAGCTGAAGTGTCTATGTTGGAGTTGTCGTTAAGTGATATGACATCAAAACAATTGGTGTTTCCTGTTGGATTCTCAATTTGAAAATCGGGTCTTGGTGTCATGTTTAAATTTAAATGCAAATACGTAGAATTCCACAAAACAATTCGTGGGTTATTTAATTCAGGATTGATTAAAACAAGATTTCCAGCAATTGACATTCTCCCTAAATTTGTCGTATTTCGTAGCACATTTATCACTGCGTTAGTTTCTATCACAAGTCTGTTGTTAATGTGTAAATTTGTCATTATAGATAATGATTTTTCAGCAATAGAAAGATTTTGGGTGGTAAACCAATAATAATTATTAATAGTAAAATACAAGGTAGTATTGTCAAGTATAATAAAATTATAAAAATATTGGTCATTGTTGTTGAATGCGTAGTCTGAAGAAAAGCAAATGGTAGTTGTGGTTACGGAACAGTTTGAAGGATCAAAACCGTAAACGTTGTTAATATAAGTGTTCGTACAATCACATGGATAACCCATTGTAGTTAACATAAA